TTATTTCATTTTTTTTTCCATTCCCACTTATCTTTACACTACCCTTTGTTCCTTTCATTTTTTATTCTCCTTTGCTCTATTTCGTCCCCCTTCATTCTTTTCATTTTTTTTTTATTCCCACTTGATCTTTTTCGTTCCTTTTTGTTTCTTTTATTCCCCCTTTGCTCCATTTCGTTCCTCCCTCACTCCCCCTTCGTTTTTTTTTATTCCCTTTTACTCTCCCTATTTTTTCATTCACCCTCATTTTTGATTAATTTTTTAGAAGTATTTTCGAAAAAACTTTAATATTATGAAAATATTACAAATATTTTTATTAATTAATTATAAATTTAATTATTTCTTATTTTATATTACGTTAATCTTAAACTTATAACCAACTTAGGAAAATATTTGAATAATTAAATGTATTAAGAATCTATTCATTTCATTTATTATTATTCTTTTAGTACCCATTTTACTCAATAAATTATTAATTTAGCTAAACCATTTGAATTAAAATCTTTATTCAAAAATCTGGTGATTATTTAGAGAATTTCGGATATGGATTTGGTTATAATAATCTATTATTAATTCAACAATTTCTATCAAAAAAAAATGATATTTTATAATTAATTGATTGATTTTTTATGAATTTGAATATCAAACTATTTATTCTAGCGTTCAATTTAATTGAAAAAATCTTACTCATCTTTCTATCAACGTCGATTAATTTCCTTATATCTGATATGTTATATTGATTTTTTTTAAAAAAATAACAATTTTGTAAATATATTAATTTAATATTTTATTTTTTATTTAATAATAATAAAAAATTGAAAGAAAAAGAAAAAAAAATTTTAAAAAAAATTGGGAGGAAGAAAAAGGATAAGAAAGAAATCAGTTTAAAAAAAGCTATTAGTATCATTAGTATGAATTTTTCGGTTTTGAAAAAAAAACTAAACTGAACCAAAAAAAGTTAAAAATATTTGGAAAAAAAAAATCGGACAAAAAAATTAAAAAAAATTCCGATTAAGATAACTGAAATTGGATTAGTTGATTGGAATAAATAGTTTTTGACCACAAATAGATCAGGCGGAGGAATGTCACGGGTTTTAATTATAGCATGGGATTCAAGTTACACAATTCAAATAATTCAAATAATTTATACGGAGACTAATCCAAACGTCAGACAAATTTTTTTGATTAAGAAATTATTACACGTAATAATTATTATTTATATATTTATATATAATTGTGAATTCTTCCATTGATTTTTATAATAACAATTATATTAGATAGAAGCTAATGATTAAGCATAATATTATTTGCTACACTAAAGGGACTAAAGGGACTAAAGGTGTGAAGGTTTGCGATCTTATCTATTGCTATTTCTGTAAATATCAGGTAAACTTTTTGGCTTTAAATGTTTTCTGATGCAAGTTTACATCAGTAATATATTCCGAATTTGATGCTCATATGCATTATAGTAGCAATATCAGCCTTTTGTCTGACACTCTGACCTTGATTGCTTACCCAAAATCTAAATAGATCAACTATATTTTGCACTGTAAGTTCGCTAGATCCCGTCAGAATTGCTCCTAAGAGAGTTCAGGAATCTGAATATCACCTTTAGTGCAAGCAAGAGGATAGTTCCTGTCTCAAGCTTGCTCCACTTTTTGATTATAGTGAATCTTTTTTATCAACAATCATTTGCTCTGATTCAACAGGAATTGAGCCCTGTTTATTTTCTTTGTTTAAAAGGATTGTAGAATTCTGGAAATTATATTAGAGGTAACAGCTATGAGCGCCCTAAATCCAAAATTTTCTGAGAAGTTACCAATGGACCATCATCTTTAAGTCTTTTCTCTGTTTCTTTTGCCTTATTTAATTACTACCCCTTTTCTCATGCCAAGAAAGTGTCCACCTCCCTATGGCACTAGACTTGAGTTGAGCATTCTCAGCATAACGCTTGGCATTCTCCTCCATAACTTGCTTTAGAAGCTCAACATTTTACGCCTCAATCTCGGCTTTCTCAGTCTCAAGCTTAGCATTCTTAACTTCAAACTCATAAATGCGTTGTCTCAATAATTCATTAATGACATGATCTATAAAACCTTGACAAATTCAAGTAAATGTTACAATTTGTAACGCCGATCACTTTTGCCAAGAAAAAATTTTTTATTAATGTACGTAAAAAATTAATACAATGGTCGGAACTTTGCCCGCGATACATGGCGAAAATTTCTATTCTATGTCTGCGGACTAATATTACACGATTATTTTTTTGGACGATAACCCTCTATTCTAGCTTTTTTCTTTGAGTGAGAATCATCTTCTGCACATGGCCCGTCCTTTAATATACCCACGATTATTTCCAAAACCTCTTTCACAGCACTACGCAATGATTGAGATGCGTTGTCCAAGGCCTTCTTGTTAAATTAGGAGTTCATTCGCCTGAAAAATTTCACCTGGAGGATAAAGCAAGAAACGCCGATCCTTAGCAGTTGTCCTAATACCATAAAGGTAGTCAAAATCATCATCATTTCGTTTTCGTTTTCTCCTGTTCGTTTCTGATAATTTGGGCAAAACTTTCGAGAATGTTACGCTGGACCGTATCTTCTGTAACATAAAAAAGAAAAAAAAATCCTCAGCTCACGAAAACATTTTTTAGCTATGATATATTATATTCCGGATTGGCTATGTTAACGAGGGATTCCCATGCCTTGATTGCATAATCGACTCACCCGCAACTTTCATCACCAAATTATTTCGTATTCAGGTCTCATACTAAATTCCTTATTCGTAGCATCACCCGCCGTGTGAAGAATGATCGAAACGTACTCATTACGCATGTCTTCCAAGCTATCCACGACCAAAGACCCATAACTGACTAAAATTTCCGTCATACAATGCTCGAAGTGTTCGTTCGTTGGGGTCTTGAATTTCGTGGGTTTGTAGAGAGAATAATGGGATGGTGTCAGTTCTATTGGAGTCAATGCCACATCTCGTTAACACTTCCTTCAAACTGCGTAAGACAAAAAGGCCCTCAACATTTTTTCATAGCGAACTTCACCAGTCTCATAGCTGGTCCACCCGGCATTCCCCATTTCTCAAGCCTTTCTTCGATTAAGTCAAAGAAGTTCCCGCCATTAATTTCTCTCCTTCTCGATTATCTTTCGTCTTATATTTTTTAATGTCGTCTGCTAGCGTAACGTCTCATCTTCAGTTGCTGTAGCAGAAGTGATTGGATAAAAAAATAGTTACATTCCAGAGTGAGATAAAATTAAAAAAAGCGTCATTTACGGTAAAAGGTTAATAAACATATTGATACTTCGGACTAAAATTTTATACCTGATTGTGACTTCGTAGTTCGTACCAAACCCGCTTTATGCACAGTGAAATTCGATATAATGGAACCATCAGTTCCGTTAGTAAAATTTGTCAAAAATCCGTTATATCGAGAAATCCGTTATATCGAAAGTAAATTAATTATAGATTATGATAATCTGTTCCAGGCCCCAATTCCGATATATCATTATGTTCCGTCATATCAAGACTGTGTATAAAAGAACTTATTTATTAAAAATGAAAATTATCCATGCAAAGTATTTTGGGTGTAATTGTTTTTGAAGTTCCGTCATGATATCTACACTTGGGAACACAAAAAATTACCTCGTATTACTTTCTTGACCCGGTCAAGATATGCATGATTATGTATGACAAACATATTCTTTTCTTGATTCGAAAAGAAATATTTAATAAAAAAAACTTTGTTCATATTTTTTAAGTTTTATAATCTATAATAATGTAATGATATAAAATAAATAAAATAATTTATTTTTGTACCATATTATTTTTTCATTAAGTATTATAAATCTATTTATTAATATTAATGTCTTGCAAAAAATTCTTTTTGTGTCTACACTCTCGTAAAAGAAGAGAAACAATGAAATGACGTTTTTCCATTTTCATAAGAATATGCTTGTTATACATAATCATGCATATTTTGACCGGGTTAGGGAACGGGTACCGTCAAGTTCGGAATAACTAAAATAAGAAATCGTTAGAACTGTGTAACGGGGAGAACCGAAAAATTCATGTGACATCATTTTATTCGTTGTCTTTTATTTCTTTAAAAACTCCGTAAAAATGAGCCTTTCACGGATCCATTCATGGAAAATGAAAATAATTCCCGTGATAAATATGGTAAGCCAGATACTTTCAACAAAATTTACCACTTATTTAACATTTATTATGTGAAATTTAGCATTTAATAAACGCATAATTTAGTGTACCACAAAATATTTACTATTTTAACTATTTTAAGAAATCTATTACATAATTTATTTATTAAGAAGTAAATTTCTTGTTTGATTATACAGAAAAAGGTAATAAAAAAATTTGATGTATAAATTAAACGCTTATATTATAACTATATGCTTATTAACCGCATAATAGGTGTGAGAATAAGCGGAGATAGGTGCAGATTGATCCGCTTCAGCTTGCCATAAAATATAGGGTCATCATTGCCTTTTATGGAAAAAAGTATGGAATATAAAAGATGGATATAAAAAAGATCGACTTTTTTTTGCTCCGGACAATTATCGATTTCTGTAGCACTGCAGTACAAAAAATCATATACCCCTGATTCGGGTCATCTCATTATTAAACTTTTAATGGAAAATTTTCAATGTTTAATTTCTTTATTTCTGTTTTAAGTAAAAAAAAAAATTCTGGGACACAATAAATTAGTCTAGTGGTATTATTTTGACTTCTATTTTAATCATTATAAGATTCCTCTTTGCGATTAGTAATGTTTCGCAATTAATTTCAACAAGTTAAATTTGTTTGGTGGTGATTTCTTAGTCTTTATAATATTTCTTATTTAATCATTTCATTTACTACATCTAAAGTGAATGATATTTAGATTTATTTGATGATAATTTTTTTCTTTATTTATATCCCCAATCTAATCAGTTACTCCAAGAATGTTCGATCTAACTTAAAGTGTTTAAATAATAAATACGTAACAGAATAATCATTAACGTGTCTGCTATTGAAAATTTTTTTATAAATTTGCTCTATTTTTCCCTTTCCAAAGTAAAAATAAAAAAACAAAAAAACGAAAAATATAAAAAATAAGAAACACGTCTTTTCTCCTTAATTACGAAAACTCATTAATTCTTTAATAATCTTCAAAAATCATGAATAAAAAAATTATCCTAATACTCGCTATAATTGTAGCCTTTATCGCATTCGCTTCTGCTACACCTTCTACTTGGAAAAGAGATGATGCTAGTAGAGTTACTAAAGAGAACTCCATAGATAAAAGACGGCCGGAAGAAAAAGGAAGGACAAGTGGTCCACACCGTTTGTCGAAAAGACAGTCGTGTTCGTCCCAAGGACTAGTTCCATGTGCAGTCGGATGCTGTCACCCCTATGGATGCGGTGCTAGTGGTGTATCTTGCGGTGATGGAACTTGTTGCCCTTCGGGAACTTCTTGCACCGCAACGTCTTGCGCGTAAAATTTTCTTGTAGTTAATAAACAAGATAGTATTAACTCATTTTAAGAATTTTTGTAATTTTTATTTGTTTTTTTCTTTTTCTTTCTGTTATGAATATTTTTTTATTGGCTGTTGTAATACTTTTTCGCGTTGTAGTCAGCTTCTTTATATTTAGATCTATAAATAAACGCGTTTATATTTTATAAATTACAAATTACAATTTTCAATAATGATTTTTTGTCAACTTTAGTTGATTAAATGTGTCGAAACGTAATAGCAAATCAATAAATAATCTTTTTTTTAAAAAAAAAAAGATCCAATTTGAATGGTTTTTTAATTTGTTCATGTCAAAATACATTAATTCAGATTTGATACAAACGTTATATTTCACTGTGATGAATTTTGTTAACATTTACATTATGCATAAAATTTAATGATTTATTCATCGCGCATGCGATGATTCCTTTTGGGGTTGTCTAAAGCCGATCTTCCCCAACAAATTTTCTTCCCTACGTGACTTGTGTGGCGCGATCAGCCCTATTAATTTATTTGTTTATTGTTTACCGTTTTATGGACAACAACGACAAAATTCTCTAAGTTAAAACCAATTTTTAAAAATCTGTTAAAACAATATAAAACTAAATATTTGTGATAACATAAATATGGAATATTGTTATAATAAATGCGTTTTTTTTATAGATTTTATTGTCCGAAGCAAAGCGAAAGATTAAACTTTTAATTTATAATCATTCAACCTTTTAATGAACTGCAATTTTAATGCTATACAATATTAGAATTTCAGATTTTTTATAAATTAAATATATTACAATTTTTTTTTTTTTTGAATTAAAAAATCGATTGTGAGACAAAGAAATAACGACACATTTGGCAACAAATCTACAAATTTTGAAGCAATTTCAATCACTGGTTTCTCATTTGTCGCATTTTTTTGTAATTCCGATTACTTTTTGCCAGCACTGTATTTATTCCTATAGAAATTATGATTATAAAAGTTGAATAATATTTGGTTCAAAAAAATCATGATCTGCAGAATATGTCACGTGCCAGAGCTACGCTGGGGAAGTTTAAACCAGTTGACGTTATTATCAGCTATTTTGAGGTATGTTCATTAATAATTTAGTATTATTGTATAATATTATCAAATAACTGTAAAATTTTTTTTATAAAGAGGAAAACAATTTTGAATCCATAATAAATCAAGAGTACCTTACAATCATCGTGATAGAAGTGAGATTAAAAGAACACGAGGCAATAACACGCAAATGCATATATGTAAAAATTATTATCTTTTATTGATTTTTGTGTAATTCCAAGTTTTTTTTATTGTATTGATTGTACATAGTGTCTCGTAACCAAAAAAAACAAAGAATCCGTTATTGATTTAACAGATGATGAGTTGTCTACTAAACCATCATTAAAAGTAATCTATTATTCTTCCATTAATAGAAACAAATCATCAAAGAAAGGTATAAGAGAAAAGAATGAAGAAACATCAACCATAAATGAAATATCTGAATTAAGAAATTGAGAAAAGAAAAATAGCATTAAGGAAGCGTGCAGCTGAAGCTAGGAAAAAAGAAGCAGAGGCCGAGGCATTAGAAATAGCTAATGCTAAAAAAAAAAAAAAGAAAATGACATTTATTTAAACAAATAATAATAACATGTTACTTTATAATAATAACACCTACAATTAAAGCGAGCTCAAACAAATACAACAATATTGGCGAGTTAGAACCACCAATAAATGGGAGGTTAATACATTAATTCTAATAAAGTTTAATATTTAGCAGTATAAATTCGTTTTTTACAAACATCTCAAAGTTTTTTTATAATAAATAAATATCTTAAACAATTTCATATATAAAAGATAGAATTCGGAGCATCACTGTAAATATTCTTTTTTGGTATTTATATATATTAGTATTACTGTATCAAGTTGACAAGTTTATTATAAAAAAAAGAAAATTTTTGTTTAAAAAATCTATGTACTGTACGTACGTTGGTCTCATGACTTCTTCCATACGTACGTACGTTTTATTTAATATGTTTAAGAGTTGAAGAACCAATCATCTGAAAAAAAGAAAGATGATGACCATTCGTTAAAAGAAAAAATTAAAGAAAAAAAAGTTAAAAACTTACGAAATCCGCGTCTAAATTCTAAGGATATCAAAGAGTCAGCCGTCTATAAAGGAAAAAAAAAAAAGTTAGTAGTCGTTCGTTAAAGAAAATAATTAGGAAAAAAATATCTTACCGGAATCCCGTAATTAATAAATATTCATATACGTTGTAGCGTCTGAACTTATCTAGTGAATTTATTAATTGTGAGGCGCAGTATTATATTTAGCTTAAGTAGTGTATAAAATTTTATTTTATTTCCAGTAGTGAACTCCAAGTCACGAGTATAAACTGATTAATAACTCCTGTCACATGAGAATAAACTGTACACGTGATTAGAAGATCTACAAACCAGTTACATAGATGAAAATGAGGCTTAGTAGAAACATTATTTGAATGAAGGAAAGAGATCAACATTCATATAAGAAAGGTCAAGTAAACAAGGACAATTATAAAAAGGAGATTATTTCGACCATCTCAGACAGAAGTTGAATTTTCCTATTTTACCCATTATATTATTTTTCGATTCTTTTTGCCCTTTTCTTATGATGAAAAAGTGCCACCTTAATTAATTTAAGGGTTGATAGAATTTACATATGAGGGAGTTTGATTTAGTTTAATAGAATAGTGTAGTATGATTATTTTGTATAGTGTGAATATTTTATTATTGAATAAAGGAATATTTTGTTAACAACTTGATGTGGCAAGAACCCATACCACAGGATCGAGTGTTACAATGTAAAATTTTGTAAAATAAATTAAAATATTTTTTACAATGAATATATAATAATACATTCAATAAATATGGTTATCATTTTTTTCAATTACATCTTTCTGGCCAAAATAATCATTAATGGCCCAAGATAATAAAGATAATAGATAATATTAGAAGCAAGGCGTTACAAGTGTTACATGCGTATTTCTTTTATGCTACATATGCTACATAGTTAATTATATTTATTTCTTATGAAACGTATGTGTATATATATGATCGGATAAACCACTAAAAATACGCAAAATAAACCCCTTATTAAAAAAAACCTGTTAAAAATACTAAAAATACGCATTTTAATAATCTGATCACCACGCAAATCAGTATCTAACCCTGTAAAATTTTTCTATGATGGCGACGCAATAATGCACCTTGCCCCTACATATATATTTCGGGTCCTATTTTACAAATAAAATCACCCCCCGGATTAAAATTTCGATATGCTCAATTAAATATCTAATTTTCGAAGTGAAATATTCCGAACATTTTTAGAACGTTTCGTCACTTCATTATTTTTTACTTTATATTAATTAGTAATCACGTTATGGAAGTGATTATTATATAAGTTAAATATAGGCTTTATCCTCCACCTCCATTTAAGATATAGCAAAATCACAAATTTTTACTAAGGTCAATTACTGTATATAACGTTAACGTTAAGATTAGGAATTAATTCAAGGAATGATTTATTTAATTAGTTTATTTTATTTATTTATTTATTAATTAATTTTTACACGGATTACCATGTAATAATAAATAAATTACAATACCTGTTTTTTATATAATAAATTGCGTAAAAAATTTCTGTTTCTTGTTATTTCATACTCTTTGATCAATTCGATTGACTCGAAATTTTATATATCATTATTAAGATAATATACATAAGCTAATCAAAAAAATAGGTGAGACGAATAGTTGTGGCGTCCGGTGGAGGTGTTGAGACGAATAGTTGTAGAGTCCGGTGAGGATGTTGAGTGGAGTACGGCGACATTTGTACTCAGGTGATGAATAGCATCTTGGCCCACTCCGAATCACGTGTTTGGCCCGTCGTGTTATTTATCACTTGAGTAAACTGTCACATAGGGACCGGACTCCACAACTTTCCGTATCACTCCAAAAAATACTGCGTCGTTTCTTTGACCCTTTTTTTGACGCAGAAACTAGCGAGCGAAATTCGTTCAACAAGAAAAATTGAACATTAATTTACTTTAATGAGAAATTTTTAAACAAACATCATGAATTTCTTTAAAACGTTTATTATATATATTTAGCACACTTTACAAAATCCTACATTTTTTTCATGCGCTTTTAAATAAGTTAAATTTTATATACGAAACAACTCTTTCGAAAATTTGTCAATCGGTTCAAATTATGATTTAATTTTTATATTTATTTATGATTTTAACTGCGCCTTAGGATTAAAATTTAAGCTATTTCGTCCTAATTCTCACTTTGCATTTCACCAAAGCTAATTGAATAATACTGCATAATAATAAAAAAAAAAATAAAGAAGAAAAAAATCGGTAAATCTAATATTAAAAATAAAATATATTATTATATCTGTATGAAATTTCCATCCATTTCTTATTTCCTCATTATTGTCTATTGAAAGATGCGAGAGTTGTCCTTGAATAACCAGAACTAACTTTAATTCGTTTTCCTATTTTTAAATTTGAGAAATAGATAAATATAAACAACAAATTTTAATATTATTTAAAATCGAATAAAACATTTACCACTATTTTCACAAGAATTAATATTTAATTCTTCAATATTTCGCTTAATTCCAAGTGAGGTGAGTCTATCACTAATATTTTATTGAAGACTTTCATTGTTGGATTTAAATTATAATTAACAAATATTTTTAATTTTAAAATACCTTTTAATATCTATGTCTAATTCTAATTCTTCTGAAGTGTAATCTATAAAAAAAAAAAAAGAATTTTAAAATTATCTATCCAAAGATTACTTTTATTAAAATATCAAGTACATACCGTTTGATGAATTGATAAATGAACATTTAGAAAATATAGATGAACATTTAGAAAATATAGATGAACGTTTAGAAAATATAGATGAACGTTTAGAAAATATAGATGAACGTTTAGAAAATATAAATGAACGTTTAGAAATGTAAGAGTTTAATGATCTACTTGTATAAATAGCTTTTGGGTGAGACTTTTCACTAAACTCGGGACCAAGCTTCTTCGAGACTATTAAATCTTTCCATTTTAATTCAGCTTGGCTAAATTGAGCTACGAAATCGAATCCATATTTATTTTCAATAAACTGATTATAATATTTATACCATGGAATACAAGTATTCCGAATTTCACATATAGAAGGTCTTTTTTTGGGATCAGAATCCCAACAACTTTTCATTAAATTAGCATAACATTCTGGTGTATCTTTTGTAATTTCAGGTCGTACACCATCAATAATATTAAAAATAAGACTATGATCATGTTCAACATTAGCAAAAGGTTTACAACCTGTTGTAAGTTCCCACATAATCATACCTAGACTATAAATATCAGATTCTTTGGAAAATGCCGACCCTTTAAATATTTCTGGTGCAATATAAGGTATTACTCCATATATTTCATCATCCAATGAGGTATCGTTTGCAGATCGTGATAATCCTAGATCTCCTATTTTATAACAAATATAAATATTTAAATTATTTACCAATATATTTCCACTATGTAAATCTCGATGTATGAAATTTGAATCATGGACAGCAAAAAGTCTAAAATAAGATTATTAAATTAGAATCACAAATTAATCATTATCAATATATTTAAAATATAAATACCCTAATGAAATATCATTTAAAATTCTTATCTTTTGTTTCCAATCAATTACTGGAAATTCCTTTTGTAAATATTTATGTAAATCTCCTTCTGATGCATATTGCATAACTAATATATAATCGTCCAATTTGGGATCTTTTGTAAAACCAAAAGTTTCATTAACAGTACAACCTAATTTATAACAGCGATGATTCGACTCCAGCTATAAATTTCGACATTAAATTAAGATATTTTGCGAACATTAAATAAAAATACGAATTTTTAAATATTTACCTCTTTAAAAAAATATTTTTTAGCATATTGAAGATTTTTAAATCTTTTTAAAATGACAATTGAATTATAGTTTGGACTATCTAACCAGGTTGCTTGATATATGATGCTAAATCCTCCTTCTTCTATTTTTTTTACATTTATAAGTTGAGAATATGGTATATATCTTATTAATCTTCTTCTAATTTTAGTACGTAAAGTTTTAGTATATATCTGGGATGGAATGAGATACTTATTACTTTTTAAATCGTAAACGAATTTAGTTATGTTCAATTGATTCAATTGATTATTTCTTATATTAAAAAGAAAATTATCTAAAACACTATCTCCACTGTTAATACTAATAATCTTTGTAATATCAAAAATTGATACTCTTTTGCATTTTTTGCATTGTGATCGATTTGTAACCCCAAAAATAATATTTGTTGTTAAACAATATCTACATCCAATAAAAAATATGAAACAATTTTCACAATACTTTTGACAGTTTGATGTAAATACCAATTTTTCAAGACAAAAACAAGTACTTGTATTTTCCCAAAATGGTAAATAAATAATTGAAATAAACTTTTTAGTTAAGGTTGATTCTATACATCCAGAAGAGACTAAATAACAAGTTGAACATAGTTTAAATATTTCTGTAATACAATTGCGATATAATAATTTTCCACATAGTTTACAATATTTTTCACCTGTAATCACGTATTCGTATAAATCGTATGAATCTCTAATACCTCTAATAAACCCAAGAAGTTATTTAGTAGATATTTGTTTAAAATATAATACTATCAAGCAATTTATACAGCATTCTTGAATATTTTGTGGTATTTTGGTTCTACTTATTTTATGATCATTACATTCCAAATCCTTTGTGAATAAATATACGTCCAAGTAAAGATTAATATCAGTTATATTAGTTAAATAACTCGATAAACATTTTTGCAGTATTTTTGGTATTCACTGATAGTCGTCTTTGTGTATTCTTCTCCACAATGAAAACAATAATTATCTTCCCAGTTAAAAGAAATAAAAAAAATCGGTACGGGATTAGATTTTAATTTGGGGGTTGGATCAAAAGAATTTTCATCATTTAATTTTACAAGTTCCATTTTATAATATTACAGTATAGAAAATTCAACTTATTTATAGTTTTCATAATGAACCCGTAGAATGTAGAATTTTCTGTCGATGAATTCTTCCAGTACTACGGAAAATTCGATTTGTATTTATTTGGAAGTACTTTGCAAAACAAAAATGCGATGTTGATCTGAGAATCTTCTTTATCGTAGAGTAAAAAACTTTTTCCTGTTTGGTAATTTGTTGTACTCTTTAAAATACTGTATTACAATTTTTTTTTAAATTTTCAAAATAAAGTGACCCATGGTAAACGATCATCAAAACACTTGCAACGTATACTCTTTTTTGGTTTTGATCTACATGAAAACTTTGCCCGCGAATTTAATATCTTAGAGTTTGGTTATTAGAATTAAGAATAATCCTAAATCTAAGAGTATAACGCCCACCCTCCCTTCCTGTGAATAGGAGACATTTATATATTTTTCCATAAATCAAAAAAAAATTTTTTAACCCATGTTACGCAAAATTTCAGATGATGTGGCCCAAAATAGATTTTTGATTATCAATAGAAACTTCTTACATTAATTAGAATATTCTAAAAAAATCAAAAAATGTTTTTTCATATCAAATTCATGCAGCTTGCATTTTTTCTTTGATTAAGCCCCGATTATCACTCATCGTAGTATAAAAAACCTGATATGTTTTTTCCTATTTTTGTATTATACTGCGCATTGTTCTACAATTCTTTTATTTTATTTTTATCATGAAAATTCTTGAGCCAAAATAGGAAAAAAATTTTGGTGAAAATTTATTAAATTTATTTTTTATTTCTTAGAATAGCCAATCTGTCTAAATATTAGGATTTTTACTCCATTTGGATCATAAATAAAAAAAAAAATTTTAGAATCGAATTTTTTGTTTGTATAAATAAAATTATCTGATACTTTTTTTGGAAAAAATCATCTTATCATTTCTACCTTAGGAATGATATGTGGCAGTGCCTCGATTATTTAAGCTCATTGTAAATAAAAATGCCAAGAAATGCCATGAAATATTTTTTTTTTTCTTTCTTTCATATAACTAACCTGCTTTTTACTTGTAAGTTATATGAGTTTGACCTATTTTAAGAATTATTTCTTTTTTTTCTATTTTTTTTTTTTTTAATAACATCTTTTTTTCGTATGATATTTTGTAATTTTATTTTTCATGGATAAAAAATAACATGAAAAAAATTTTTCTTATTTCGTAAATGTAAATAAATGTAAAATATACATTTGTATTGAAAATGATAGTAATGGTAAAAAAAAATTATTTTATGAAAGAATTTTTTATCATTCAATTATTCACTTTGCTAACAGAATTCCCACCATGCCTGCTAAAATCTCAACTGTTTCCTACGTATATGATTCTACAGAATGTCTGACTCAAGATTACATGGTCAAAGAAATCATAGCAGTTTCAAGAACTGATGATAATGATGTGACCAAGGTCAAATTTTTCAATATGTGAATGATTATCTCTTCCTTTGCTGATTTCATAAATTTTTAGTTAAAATCTCTTTATCAAATGTTTGATAAGTAAATTTGAATATATTAAATATATTGTTAAATGGTATGATATCATAAAAAGATCCTATAACAAAAGAACTTAGATTTATAATGAAATATGCAAATGTTATTGTTTGATTCTTCAATTAATGCTTCAAGTCTATTATCTAAAATGATAACGATAATAATTATTAATTGTTAAAATGTATAAAATTAATATTTACATACTTTGTTTTGTAACAAACGGAATAATTGAAGGTGAACCAATTAAGGAACTTAATAAACTACTTGTATAAATTGCTTTTGGGTAAGATTTCTCACTAAAATCAGGTCCAAGCATTTTTGATTTTATTAATTCTAATCTTATTTCTTCAGCTTGATTAAAATATTTGGCGTTCATTCTCATATTTTACCAAGAATTAAAAATTTCACAACCATTCGTTGCTGAAGGTCTTTTTTTAGGATCAGAATTCCAATTTTTTTCATTAAGTTGGTAAAATATTCAGGTATATCATCAGTAATATTAGGTCGTTTTCCATTAATAATTTTATAAATTAAATCAATATCTTGTTTAACATTAGAAGAGAGAGCAGATTAAAATTTTATTGATTAACTAAAGACTAGAAACTAAAGGACCCCAGAAATATATATAAAAAGATCAGATACAGCTAAAAAAATTTTACTATTATTATCTGTAGTCTGTACGCATTTTTTCAGGGCTGGAATTATGATAATTTCGGTCAGTATTTCAAAAAAGGGAATAGCTTTCCTCTATAAAAGGAAAATTTTTCATGATTTTTTTGACTGGTTGTCAAACCTGACCTTTTTCTGAAGATATCGTGATACAGTAATTATAAGATTTACTGATAAAAGTAGTTTGAGAAGTATTCCCTTAAATAATTTTAATAAATTAATATAGAAAGATGAAATTTATTTATTATATCATTTATTAATAGGATTAGAAGAGTTACATAAATTAGAATGTTAGGTATTATTTAGAATAATTTGTAAATTATGATTTAATAATTAGCCAAAGTGATTGATTATCATGTTCTGACCTATAAATGGCCGAATTCGAAAGGTTCGAAAGAACCCTGGCCGAAATTTTTGGTAATTCTGGTAATTCCGGCCAATTTGCGGTGCAGGCTAGAATTATAGATCACGTGACATAGGATAAACAAAAATTCATAATGCGGGCCAAATTATATAATGTTGGCCAGACAATTTCTGCCTGAATTTTGACTTTCGGTAGAGTTTCAATGGCTGGCTGAAACCGAAACCTGAAATTATGCCGAAATTACTGAGTTTCGGCAACATGTATAATATCCATGTTAGAGAGATGAAATTTTTCATGATTTAAAGCATGAAAATGATACATCCACGGAAAAAACATGGAAATATCAAACACGGATCTGTCAGATCAACATCTTTTATGTGACTATCTGAATTAATCCTTACTGAACTATTTGAAGGGAACTGTTAACAATGTACAAATAATTGCTGTTAATTCAGATTTGATCTCAGAATAAATGACTGTTTGAATAAACCACATGTCATGTTATATCTTTCTTTACTTAATCTATAAGCGACCCGTCCATATAAAATTCAAATTTATTAATATGTCAAAAAATTTTTAAGAGATTATCACATTAACTAGAATATGCGATTTGCTGGGGGACTTCGTCCCCCAAATATAACATTTATAATTAAAAAAATTCTTTGATATAAATAAATTGAATTGTTACTGAATAATAAAATTTTATTATAATTAGACCCTATAAAAAATCATGTTTTAATAAGATTTATACAATTTTTTCTTAAAAATAATGTATCTAAACTATATATAAGGATATATGAAAATGCACAATTCCATATCACAAAAATGCACCATGTGTATGATTGACCATAATTTATACTGAATTTATATTGATTTGATCAAAGAAATTACATAATTTGAGCATAGAATTTACAAGAATTGGTCAATGAATTTACTGATTAAATTATAATTATTAATATTAGTTGCATTTATATGAATTTAATTTTAAATAATAATATTTTATTAAATTATTAAATCAAATAGTATCATGTGATTATAATTAGCCAATAATATAAATTAATTTTTATAATTTAAAATAATGACATAAGCTGTAATAAGT